ATGTACATTTAAATGTAAGCTTTTTAAAAGTACATTTAAATTTGAGTTTCTTAAATGTACATTTAAATTTGAGCTTCTTAAATTTAAATTTAAATTTGTTTCATTTACAGAAAATTATTGGTAATTCTCTTGTCGAGAGATGATTTTTAAAATCCAGCGACTATAATAACTAGATTGCGGATTCGATGTATTTATAATAAAAATGAGCAGATCGAATTTAAGCTTTCTAAATTTAGATTTAAATTTGAGCTTTTAAAATTTACATTTAAATTTCAGTTTCTTAAATTTACATTTAAATTTGAGCTTCTTAAATTTAAATTTAATTTTATTTCATTTACAAAAAATTATTGGTAATTCTCTCGTCGACAAACGGTTTTTTAAAATTCAGCGACTATAATAACTAGACTGCGAATTTGACGTATTTATAATAAAAGTTAGCAGATCAAATTGAAGACGGTGAAAACATTCAAAGAATTGAATGATACCTATCATTGCAATACGTTTCCACTTATTCGAATCATTAAGAGAGCAAATAAACGTTTGTCGAGTTCTTGCATCGTGCAATCGATGCGGACAACTTGTGTTTTGCGTAAAGATCCGCGATCTAATAATAATAATAATAACAACAACATCGAACGAAGAGAGAATCGACGAGGATACAAAAAAAGAGTGCAAAACGGGGCACGATAATTACGAATTACCAGAGACACGAACGTTGACGGACGCTGAAGGAAGCAACGCCCCTGCGTTCTGTTTCTTTTTTCTCTCCAACGGAATAAAACGGCAGAAGGAAAGCATAAACAAAAAGGCAGAAGAAGAAGAAGAAGAAGAAGGCGGGCGAAGGCGGAGGAGAGCGCGCGCGCTTGTTCTTTTCAGTTCGGGGCGGCGCTTTCAGTGCGCGGAATAAAAAGCTGCGAAAAGCTGCGAGAAAAAAAATAGGCCGAGCTGGTGCTTTTCTTCGTTTGCAATGCTTCGCGTCGACGCTTCTAGAGGGAAAACAAGGCAGGAAGTGGCGCCGGTTTCTTGTCTTCCTGCTTTCCTTCGAGCGGCGACCCGCCGCCGCCGACTTGCTTGCTCTCTTTTCTGGCCACCTGGAGAGAGCACCGTGAGCGCGCTCCTCGAGTGTCCATTGTCGTGCCGTTAATCCAAGGACACGGGGTGACAACCTGCGAGGAAACCGGGCGGTTCTTCTCCGGCGTGGAACCAGCTGACTGACAGCTGCGCCCTGCAATGTCGCTCCGCGACGCTAAATCGACAGGTGTTTCGCCCGATGTCGAGAGATCGTGGCTTTTGGCTAACTCGGAGACGAAACGTTGACGAGCACCCATGGCCCTGTGCCATTTCAATTCGACGTAGGAGATCATTTCGTTGTTCTATTGTGCCATTGCTTCTGAATTACCGTGAGAACGTTATTCTGTCATTTCGTTATTTTATTATTTTATAATTATGTAATTTTATTGTTCTATCATTCCATCATTCCATCATTCCATTATACCTACATTCTATAATTCCATCATTTCATTATTCTATCATTCCATAATTCTATAATTCCATCATTCTATCATTCCATCATTCCATCATTCCATCATTCCATAATTCTATCATCCCTTCATTCCTTCATTCCTTCTTTCCATAATTCCATTGTTCCATAATTTTATCATTGCACCATTCCATCATTCCATCATTCCATAATTCTATCACTACACCATTTCATCATTCCATCATTCTATCATTCCATTATTCTATCATTGCGCCATTCCATTATTCCATTATTGCATTATTTCAAAATATGTAGTGATTCCGACTCGGACATGATGGAATGATGGAATGGTGCAATTATAGAATAATGCAATGATAGAATGATGGAATGATGAAATGGTGTAATGATAGAATTATGGAATGATGGAATGGTGCAATGATAAAATTATGGAACGATGGAATGATGCAATGATAAAATTATGGAATGAAGGAATGAAGGAATGATGGAATTATGAAATGATGGAATGAAGGAATGAAGAAATGAAGGAATGATGGAATTATGGAATGATGAAATGAAGGAATGAATGATGGAATTATATATATATATATATATATATATATATATATATATATAATATATATAAAATATATTTAATTAGAAGGTTAAAAAAGCTTTATCATTTCCAATTGTACCTCATCTTGCTTCCTCAGCCTTCTTCCAACCGATCAACGCGCATAAACGTAGAAGAAACAAAAGAATACAAAAAAACATAAAAGTATCGATTTTTGCGACGTCGAAAAATAAGATTCAAGTTTCCGGCCGCAAAAATGGTAAAATTTGTCCGCCATGCGTCGCCGCGAGAATTTGACCTGGGAACGGGGTGAATTTACGTAGCGACCCCCGCGCGGCCGTTTCGGGTCGCGCGCCGCTTTCAGCCCCGTCCCCTCGGCCGGCGAAATAATTCATTTAGAAAACGAGGGCCCCGGCCGAATTTGCGACACGCTGTTTGCGCTGGCTCGCGGAACGCGCGACAACCCTTTTATCGCGCGCGCGGAGTTCGTTTGCCCGGCGAGGGCCGTGCCACGAATCGCAAACATCCGTGGACGGGAATTTTTCGGGGAATAACACGTTCGACCGGCGCCGGTTTTCCACGGTGCAACACCGTCACGGCGAAAGGGGGACACGACGGCCGAAAGGGGGGTGGGGTGCGGCAGAGGAGGGCGGGCAGACGGTGTTTTCCTCGTTAAACGTTTTCCCGCGTTTAATCTGTTGCGTTATGGGGAAAACACGGATGGACCGGTCTCGCTGATGAATTTAAATAGGCGCGTCAGACACGAGGAGAGAGTGAGAGAGAGAAAGAGAGAGAGAGAGGGAGTGAGAGCGAGGGAGACAGAGCGAGGGAGATAGTGAGAGAGGGAGAAGGCGAGAGAGAGAAAGCGCGAGAGAAAAAGTGAGAGAGAGAGAGAGCGAGAGAGAGTAAGCGAGAGAGAGTAAGCGAGAGAGAGAGTAAGTGAGAGAGAGTAAGCGAGAGAGTGAGAGCGAGAGGAGAGTAAGAAAGCGAGCGAGAGTGAACGAGTGAAAAAGCGCGCGAGAGAGAGAACGCGCCTGAGAGAGAGAGAGAGAGAGAGAGAGAGAGGGAACAAGAGAGAGAACGAGAGCGAGAGAGAGAGAGAGAGAACGCGCGCGCGCGAGTGAGAGTGAGAGAGAGGGAAGGGGGATGTTTGCCGAATTTTAAACAATATTGCGTTTCCGCGGCGAGAGTTGGCCGACCGCGGAGAACCTTTTGCCGCTTTTGCATTGTGTATTACTGTTGATGCTCGTTATTTAGTTGATATTGATTGGTCACGCGAGACTTCCGCGGTAATTGTTCTCTTTTGGACCGGCATTATTGCAGCGGGGGCGCTGAATGAGCTTGATGGGGAATTTGCAGGACTCGTCTGGTAGAAATAGGGCTTGATAAGGTTGTCGGAGCTTGGCGGAGCTGACAGACATTTTTTTAAGGGATGTCGCAGCTTTATTAAGCTGCTAGGAATATTCAAAGGAGTCTTAGAGCTCGACGAAACTGTGATAGTCCTTGATATTGATGTCGCAGCTGGAGTAGTCCTTGAAAATTATGTCGAAGCTTCATTAAGCTTCCAGGAACTTCCATTAAGCTTCCCTTGAAGGGATATCGGAGCTTGATGAAGCTGTAGTAGTCCTTGAAATAGATGTCGGAGCTCGGCGGAGCTGACAGACAATTTTTTAAGGGATGTCGCAGCTTTATTTAAGCTGCTTGGAATATTCAAAAGAGTTTTAGAGCTTGACGAAGCTGTGAGTAGTCCTTGAAAGTGATATCGGAGAGCTTCATTAAGCTGTCGGGAATACTTAAAGGAGCTTCGTTAAGCTTCGATGAACTCTTAAAAGGATATCAAAGCTTTATGAAGCTTTAGTAGTCCTTGAAAATGATGTCAGAGCTTGATGACGCTGACAGAAATTTTGTAAGGGATGCTGCAGCTTTATTAAGCTGCTAAGAAATATTTAAAAGTGTCTTAGAGCTTGATAAAGTTGATGTAGTCCTTGAAATTGACGTCGGGGCTTGGCGAAGCAGGAGTAGTCCTCAAAACTGATGTCAGAGAGCTTCATTAAGCTCATTAAGCTTAAAGAGATGATATCAAAGCTTCGTTAAGCTTCCAGGAACTCTTAAAGGGATACCAGAGCTTGACAAACCTGTGCTAGAAAAATGTCTCGAAGATTAACGCGAAGCTGATAGAATTTTTTCAAGCCACGCCATAGCTGGACGAAGTTGTAGCAGCCCGTGGAAACGATGTCAGAGTTAGATAGAGCTTCCGGAGCTCCTGAAAACGATGTCAGACCGTGACAGAGCCATCGATCCTCGAGAAACCCTTTAGATCTTGATAAAACTATCAACAGAATCGATGGAGCTGCCACTGTCCTCGAATAGATTTTCAGAGGTTGACGTAGCTGTTGGAGCTCGACCATCTTAGCTTACCACAAAGCTCTTTCGAAGTCCTGCTTCCCAGCACCGTCGGCATCGCCGAATAAACACCTGCTTCGGGGTATCATCCTCTTTCCGTGCCGGGGTACAACATATATCGGGCTTCGGACGGTCGAAATCAAAAGGCGATCGTGCACCTGCACCGAGCCCCGAAATCCCTACCAGCTAGAACTATAAACAGACCCGCGGAGGCGCATAAAAAAGTGTCTCGACGCCCAAAAATACATTTACGAGCCGGGGCCAACCGTAAAGCCGCCGCTCGCAGCCACCGTTCCCGCCGCGGCGTCCGAAGCCGAGGCGGTCACGGCATGGCAGGGAATATATCGGCCGTTCAAGGTCACCGATCCCCACCACGCGGTCGGCTCGGTTTCGAGCCAGTCGGCGGTCCCGGCTCGCGTGTTTCGTGGCAGGCCGGGCCGGGCCGGGCCGGGCCGGGCAGCACGGCACGGCAGGGCCCGGCAGCGGCGGCCGCCGCCGCGCCAGCAAACGGCTCGCGGAATACACATCGGTGTTTGCCTTTTACAGATGCCTCGTCCTCGAACGAAGCGGTGCACCTACAGCAGCGTCTGAGGAGCCTGAGCACGGAACTGGTGACCCTGAGGAACCGGCTGCACGTCAGCCAGCCGCCGAACAACAATTCAGGGCCGAACGGGGCGAACGGGGCCCCCCTGTCCAAGAGCCCGGAAAAGGGATGCGTGCCGTCGTCCCCCGCGCCCGCGGTCCCCCCGCGGACCACGCTGCCGCTCGCGGCCACGTTGCCGCACGGCCTGGGCCATCCTTCGGGGCACACGCTGACCGCATCGGCGATCGTTCATCCACACGTGAACCACGCCGCCGCGAACGCTCTCGGACACAACTCCAACGCAGCGAATAATTTAATATCCGGTCAGTATACGCGATCGCGTCGATCCACACGCGGGTCCACGAATATCTTGGCCGCCGTTAGCCACCCTGTAACGCGGCTCGCCGAGACGTCCACGAGCGACCGCTTCGGCGATTTTTCGCCGCTATCGCGGCTGATCGTCGCGCTCGGCGGAGCCTCGGACACGCTTTTACGACGCCGCGGCGATGATCGCTGGAACCATTGAGTCTTGAACGCGGCTGGTGTATATTGTTTTTGTAATTAGTACTATTTTTATTGTACTGTTTATTGTAATACTATTTTTATAGTGCTATTTATTATAATACTATTATAATATATAGTACTATTACTGTAGTACTATTTGTTATAATAGTATTTTTATAGTGCTATTTATTATAATACTATTATAATATGTAGTACTATTACGATAGTACTATTTATTATAATAGTATTTTTATACTGCTATTTATTATAATACTATTATAATATATAGTACTATTACTATAGTACTATAGCATAATACTATTTTTATAGTACTATTTATTATAATACTATTATAATATATAGTACTATTACTATAGTACTATAGCATAATACTATTTTTATAGTACTATTTATTATAATAGTATTTTTATAGTGCTATTTATTATAATACTATTATAATATATAGTACTATTACTGTAATACTATTTGTTATAATAGTATTTTTATAGTGCTATATATTATAATACTATTTTTATAGTACTATTTATTATAACACTATTTTCATAATGTTTTTGTATTTATTGTAATACTATTTTTATAATGCTCTTTAGAGTTTGTATAAAAATATCTGACAAAAAGATTTTCACGATATCAGGGATTGTAAAAACAAGGAATTAGAAACCAGTCGTTTCGACCTGTTCGGTGGTTCTAGCGTTTATTTTGTTAACTAATTGCATCAATTCAGGTGTTTATTATTTATTTTTGAACATTTATTTCGTCCCGTTATCCTCGTCCCTTTCGAGTTCTATTTTCACGGCACATTCAATTCGCCAACTTCATTTCTTACCCAGAATGATTCAGCACATTCTCCCGAATAGACCATAGTGTATTTTTTAAACGTAGTTCTTATTTTTCCGCGAAATCAGCTGTTTTTACTTGAGTCCTAAGTGCGACGTTAAGACGCGTAAAATATATTAGGTCGAACACCCTCGGAAAGAGTACAGTATCGCGATTCTAAGAATATTGCGCCATGATTCAATAAGGTTTCCGGAAGCCAATGATTAGCATGTTTCAATAAGGACTTCTGGGCGACTGTGGAAATATCGTGGATTCCGGAAAATGTCTGAAGCTAACCCTCGGGGAGACGGCCCGAAGAACCCATACGTTAGCGAGCGCTATCCAAGTTTGGCTAAGCAGCTTTAAACCTTTGAATGGAGAAGCCCGGGTTTAATAATGGGTTTAATAACTTAGGTTTTCAGAAGTTTCGACCGAACTCTCATTTGCTTGGCTGGCTCCGCAGGGTAATGAATCATGTGTTCGCAGTTTCAGGTGCACGGGAGCGTCTCTATTCAATTTTCAACCCTTGTCGATTTTTCGGATGAGCTTGATCTCTCTCTCTCTCTCTCTCTCTCTCTCTCATTCTTTAGATCGTTTTAATATTTCTATGAAATAGAAACGTTCGCTTCAGTGGTACAGTTCAATGATGAAAAAGTAAATATGTAGTATCTTTTGGTAAATCATATGAAAGTGGTGCACAATATTTTTATAGTATTAATAATTATTAATAGTATTAATAGTATTAATAGTATTAATAATTATTAATAGTATTAATAGTATTAATAGTATTAATAATTATTATGGTAACAATATTATTATATTTTTTCCGGGAAATGGAAGGTTCCTGAGGTCATTTGAAGTAACTTTTTCCTTAGCGAAAATGTAATCCGCTGCTTTGTTTACGAGTTATTAACGAAAAAGTACTGACCAATGAGAGGCGAGGTCGGCTGGCGCGAGGCGGCTGAGCCAATGACCGGTCGACGCCCAGTTCCGCTGATTGGCTCAACCGCCTCGCGTCAGTATATCGACGCCTATTATTGGCCACCGTTTGTTCGTTAATAACTCGCAAACGAAGCTACGGATTGCATTTTCGCTAAGGAAAAAGTTATTTCGAATGATCTCAGGAACCTCTCGTTTCCCGGAAGTACCATAATTAAAGTACCAAAAATTTGCATTCTCTTGTTATTAATATTGAAGCACTGAAATAAATGTAGACACACAATAAAAACAGAAATTTAAATAAATTTTAATGTACCTTAACTCTCTTCCAAGAAATTATTGCAATCGAGAAATTTCTAATTGTTGTAACTTTCTAAATAATGGAGAAAATAATCTTAATTTCTATAAATACCCATGATCCAATTATTTCCATTCTAAACGCACAAAATACGTAATTCGGTCATTGCAGTGTTGCGATTATTTTCATTCTCTCCTGAAATAATGGTAATTTGTAGACAGCGGATTTTATGCATTTGCGACAAAAATGAAAAAAAAAATCAATTACAGAACGGTGGAAACATTTAAAGCATTCAAAAACAATATCGCACCATTTCCAACGCAATATAATAATTTAAAAAAAAGTAGAATGAATATCTACGCAGCTTTTCTGTGTATCGCAATTGATGCGAGTAATTTCTATTTTGCCAAAGAATTCGCAGTCTAGTAATCAGTGACAATTAAGCGAAAGAAAGGACGCACTTTCCAATGCGATAGCAGCGATTGCCGCAACCACCGGCATCGATATCCCACCTGTAGGCTATGATCATCGCATCAGCTCTTTAACTCGGCCACTATCGTGCCCGATAGCCGCTCGGATATTGCTGTAACCACGTCGGCAAGGGTTTTAATCTCTCATTTGGTCCGATCACCGCGAATTAAACCGGCTCTGTCGGTACATAGTTGAAATAGGGCCGCGTGGACGTCCACTCGGATGTCGGACGTCCGTCCAGCAGCGATCGGGTTCGTTAATATTTAAGCGGAGCATAATATCGTGATTGCAGCGTTAACGTGCAATACGCTCTTCGATCGTAGAACCAGTCGCCACACTGAAATCTATCATCCTCTCTCCTTCTCTCTCTCTCTCTCTCTCTCTCTCTCTCTCTCTTTTTCTCGCTCCCTGCAACGAGGCTCGATATTTTAGATAATCATTAGTAACGAGCAAATCCTCCGCAAAGTCCATCGAAACTGTAAACGCGTCCAAATTTTTATTAAAAATTTTATAAATTTTATAAACGCAGTGACACAATGTTGAAACGACATTAACATAACACGTTCCGTGCCGAGCAGTTTTTCTCGACTCTTCGCACTGGCCATTTGATATTACACTAAAACTTCATATATTACATGTCATTATTAATTGTCGTATATACAGGGTGTCCCAAAAATGTCTCGCATCCGAGAGTGGCAGGTTCCTCGGGTCATTCGAAGCAACTTTTTCTTTTACAAAAATTTCCTGCGAGGCACCGTTAACGAGTTATCAACGAGAAACAGTGACCAATGAGAGGCGAGCTTGGCTGGCGCGCGGCGACCGAGCCAATGAGCGGAACTGGGCTTCGCGCGTTGGTTGGCTGGGCCGCCCTGCGTCAGCCGTACTCGATTCTTATTGGTCACTGTTTTTCGTTGATAACTCGTTAACGGCGCCTCGGAGAACATTTTTGTAAAGGAAGAAGCTGCTTCAAATGATCCGAGGAACCCGACATTTCCGGATTGCGAGACATTTTTGGGACGCCCTGTATATAACAAGGAAACAAACTTATTATGACCCATTCTTGCGGTGGAAATTAATTCTCCAGTTCTAAATTTGTTGCAAACTATTTTTTCAGCGCGTTAAATAAACACGCAAGCATGTACCAACGGCGGTGAACGTGGCACGGAACGCGTTAAGTAACACTAGGAATATTAGTAAATAACATTTGGTAAACAACGCGTGATTCCATTCGTTCGAAAAAAAACGTCTCCGCGAGCGTAACCCGATATCCGTTCAGGCTACGCTCGCGCGTGCCGGGAGCCACTGTTTACTTCTGCGACCTTCGCTGTATCGGCTGGCAGCAGTTCTTTTTAACGAGAAGGTATAATTTTCTTTCTTTAAATGCGATCAAAATTAACACCGTGTTCCGTTGTATTCGTAATCAAAAGATAAATTGAAAATTGAACATATTCGATTAGGCGTAACTCGAAAACTCTGTCGGAGCCATGAAAGTGTAATTTGGTACAATTTAAGTATGTAGAGACTAGGATAAACATATTTCTATCGGTTGTCGTTTAATATCGAAGAACGAAGCGCTTATAATCGACGATTTTCGTTTCATTCATTTTCAGACTGGTTACTTCGAAGCCAATGTAGTCCTGTTCAAGATGGACAATTGGTAGAAAAAACAGACATAATACGTTATATATCCCATATATGGCCAATTAACTTGGTAGATCGACCAATTTACTAATTAAATCGGTAAAAGTTTCCTCTGCTATAAGCATGTTTTTATGAAACGACTTTTCACTGCATTTGCCGCGCTATTGTTTCACGGTGCGCGGCGCGGCACGAGAATGAAAATATTTGCGCGATGGCCGCCGAAAGCGGTTTACTCGACCGGTACGCTCCGTCTGATCTCGAATTCTTTCCGGTTAATCGAGTCGCTCGCCCCCGCAAAATAGGGAGATAGGGAGAACGAGAGAGAACGAGAGTGAGGACAAGAACGAGAGGGAAAGGGAACGAAAGAGGGAGAGAGAGAGAGATAGAGAGAATGAGAGAACAAGAGGGGAAGAGAACTAAAGAACGAGAGAGAGGGAGAGAGAGATAAAGCGTGCCTGAAAGAGAGAGAGAGAAAGAGAGAGAGAGAGAGAGAGTAAGAAAGCGAACGAGAGAGAGAGAACGAGTGAGAAAGCGAGAGAGAGAGAGAGAGAGCGAGAGAGGGAGAAGGCGGGAGAGAGAAAGCGAGAGAGATAGAAGGCGCGCGTAAGAAAGCGTGCGAGAGAGAGAGCGCGAGAGACAGCGCGCAAGAGACAGAGCACGCGAGAGAGAGAAAGCGCTAGAGAGAAAGAGCGCGCGAGAGAGAGAGAGAGCGCGAGAGACAGAGCGCGAGAGAAAAAGAGCGCGAGAGAAAAAGAGCGCGAGAGACAGCGCAAGAGAGAGAGCGCGAGAGAGAGTATGCGAGAGAGAAAGGGAGCGCGAGAGAGAGCGCGAGAGACAGAGAGAACGAGTGAGAAAGCGAGAGCGAGAGAGAGAACGAGAGAGGGAGAAGGCGAGAGAGAGAAAGCGAGAGAGAGAGCGAGAGAGAATATGCGAGAGAGTGCGAGCGAGAGGAGAGTAAGAGAGCGAGAAAGAGAGAGATAGAGAATAACAGAGAAAATCACAAGCGGGTTACAGGTAACCGCGGCACCGTCGGATATATGCTCGTCCCTCCCCATTATCGCCGCGTCGCGTCGGCACTCTGTTTACCTTTTTCTCCCTTTCGTTCCGTGGCTTTACTGCCACGGATATTTCGGCGACGCTGGCCGTTGGCTTTCCTTTGACGACGAACGCCCGTCTTCGTCGCGAGCGTCGTTCCGATCCGGACATATTTGGGAAATACTTCTTCGCGTTCGAATATCGAGACAAGGGTTTATTCGAGGTCGTTCGTCGGACAATCTCGTTTTTTAACCCTGTAATTTCTTCCACGGCCACGCTCGCGTTCGATAGACTCTCTCCTCGTCTTTAATCATTTCTCTAATTTAACCTTGACAATTTTTGCATCTCGCATTTCCTCGACATTTATAGATTTCGATGACGGAACAATCAAATTCTCGTTCGATTTAGAAGAATCAATTCGTGCAAATACGTATATTGTCGCATCAAATAAAGCGTCCAATGATACCATGATTGCGCGAGACGTTAATTAATAATAATGATAAATGCAACAACAACCGAATGAGTTCTGCAATAATTGTTCCGTTATAAATTTCATGTAATCTGTTCACGCTGTATTAAACTATGCAGATATATTATTTTTATTATTATTATAATATTATACATTACAATAACATTTTATGTTATATTTATTATTATTATAATATTATACATTACAATAACATTTTATGTTATATGTATTATTATTATAATATTATATATTATGATAACATTTTATGTTATATTTATTATTATTACAATATTATATATTACAATAACATTTTATGTTATATGTATTATTATTATAATATTATATATTATGATAACATTTTATGTTATACTTATTATTATTACAATATTATATATTACAATAACATTTTATGTTATATTTATTATTATTAACATTTTATATAAATATATAAAATGAGAACGACGGAATCCGTGTCGATACAACTGATGCACAAAAGAAACAAAGTAACGACCGACATGAACGAACGTGAATGCAGCATGCTTTACCAGCGTCGCTTTCGATTCCGTCTTTTGTACAAACAATTTGCGCCTTAAATTCTGATTCTTTTCGTTCTGTCGTCGCGAGGCTCCGGACTCGGCCGAGGTGCGTGGCAAACTGACCGGAGCGTGAACGCGATTTTCGCAGACTTGGACCCCCCGAAACGCCATAATGGGATCCCGGACGACAGTATAGTGTCCTGCGTGACGGCCTTAGGCTGTTTGCGATCGCCGCCGATCTCGAGCATCATCGCGGACGTGAAGAACGCGAAGAACAATCAGGGCCAGCATCGATGTCTCCCGAAGGGGACCACGGCCTCATCGGGGCCCGCGACCTCCACGACCTTGGACGACCTGATTCACCTGCCTGGCCCCCTGACGGAGGACGCGGTGCTCAAGTGTCTTCAGGCGCGGTTCTGCGCGAAGCAGTATCATGTGAGTGATTACTATACGCACGTTTTTATTGAATTTTCGACGGTCCTGCGCAGGCGTCGGGGCGACGGTCCCAATTGCCGAGGTTGTCCGGGATACTTTATTTTAACGATAATCACGATGGTACGGCAGAGAATTATAAACAATAGAATATTGATGCAACATTTGGTATTATGTTGATGGAATAAAATCATTTAAATGCTTCATTAGTTTGCTGCAAATTCTACTCAAAAATTAGTATCTCAGAAATGAATTAGTACGAATTAGTATCTCATCATTATTATTAATTTAATAATGATGACGACGATAATAATAATAATAATTTTATTTATCAACTGGATAAACCGCCTGTTGAATTTATGTAGTAATTTTAAACAATTAGCTTACAATCGACTAAATCTAAGTTTACACTGAAGATAGTGTAAATAACATTAGTTTTTGTAAAGAAAGAATAAATAAAAGAAATAATATAAAAAGAAAGAATATAAATTATATATAATATTGTACTTTAATAATTTAATTCAAGTTGGACAGTGCATCCGAAAATTGATGTAGTATAAATATATTTAAAAAATCAACGAAAAATGAATTAGAAATATCTGGGACTTATCGCCTCTCATTGGTCACTGTTTTTCATTAATAATTGCATTTTCGCTAAGGAAAAAGTTACTTCGAATGACCTCGGGAATCACCTCTTCCCATGTGCTAACATAATTACGGAACACCGTATATAAAAACGAGACGCAAGACTCGTACAATCGTACCTCATCTTCCCAAATTGTCCATTTTCGCTTCCAAGCTGTCGGTCAATTAGGGAGAATTTGTATTTGGTAAACGAAGCGTGCCGAGTGCTGCCAAGCACTCTGCGGAGTATGTACATATTCCTAACGCGTTTAGGCGACTTTCGACGGGCCAAAGTGTTCATGCTCGAGCATAGTTTTGGATGGTCGGGATTCGTCGTTAATTTTTAATCGGCCGGTGAATTATTAATACGCCCGACGCAGTTTTGGTTCATCAATGATTCGGGGCCGAAGTAGAACAGGATTGCTGACCAGTGTTCCGACTACAGGGTGTCCCAAAAATGTCTCGCAATCCGGAAATGGCGGGTTCCTCGGATCATTTGAAGCAACTTCTTCCTTTACAAAAATGTTCTCCGAGGCGCCGTTAACGAGTTATTAACGAAAAACAGTGACCAATAAGAATCGAGTACGGCTGACGCGAGGCGGCCCAGCCAACCAGCGCACGAAGCCCAGTTCCGCTCATTGGCTCGGTCGCCTCGCGCCAGCCGAGCTCACCTCTCATTGGTCACTGTTTTTCGGTAATAACTCGTTAACGGTGCCTCGGAGAAAATTTTTGTAAAGGAAAAAGTTGCTTCGAATAACCTGAGGAACCCGCCACTTTCGGATTACGAGACATTTTTGGGACACCGTGTATTTTAACAGCGTATCTCTCGTTCACCGATGACGAATAATCGCGTATTTTGGAGAGGACACGACGATGCGATCGCGGAACGTGCTACACGTTCGTACGAAGGGAACTCTGACCCCTCTGTAAAACGTTTTAAATATGTATTAATACAGAGCTTCACGAAGTTAAGGCTGCGCATGCAACTACTAATAAAAATTACAAGGGAATATACAGCGTAAAACGATATTGCGCTCGCTGCACTTCCCGCCGCGTTTATATCCGCCGGATTTCATTTATTTTGCTTTATTTTATTTGCATATTAAATACTGCAAAAAGCGGAGCTCGGCTCGTTTAACGGCGCAACGCGAAATTGCAAATAAAAATTGTAATAAGTAAACCGTATGAAATGATTTCATGCTGGAATTACCAATTCCATCGAAATAATTGTGTTCGTCGCATAAAAAAAAGAAAACAAAACAAGGGAAGAAAATAGCCGCCAAACGTTGCGCTAAATAATAGAACGCGGTTCTTTGGGCACACAAAACGGAAATATAATTCTTCTGTCGGTCTGCTTAGCGGTATAATTTTGTCGCAGTATCAGTTAAAAACAGTCGAAAACATGTGGGAATTAAAATTCAAACAATTTCAAACAAA